AGCAGGGTGAACATCGAAGTGGTGAAGGGTTTTTCAACGTAAGACGACTCCAGGCAGACGACCTCACCCTTGTTGCTCACACTGAACACGACCTACAGGAGATCCTGAATACCTATGCAGATGCATATACACACTTTCGGCCTTGAGGTGAATGTACGTAAGACTCAGATTCTTTCAACCTGCCCCTGGTTCAGACACACCACCATCCATCCAGCTTACCTGTACTACCCTTGTAATGTTACCCACTTTCGGTATATCGGTTCCCACCTGTCCACCACCGCAGACATCGATGAAGAGATTCAGCATCGGATCAGATGTGCATCTCAAGCCTTTGGCAGACTGCTATATGGCAGTGAGACATGGGTCACATACAGGAGGCACCTCAGGGCACTTGAAAACTTTCACCATCGTAGTCTACGTTCCATCCTCCGAATTCGCTGGGAAGACAAGAGAACAAATGCCAGTATTCTTGCTGACACCAACTATAGGAGGATCGAGGCTACCATTATCCACGAACAGTAGAAGACTGCCAAAGTAGCTACTTTACAGCCACCTAACGAACAGTAAAAGTAACGCCGGCGGGCAATTAAAAGGTAAGGATAGTCTCAAGACAAACCTGAAAAAGCGCCAAATCGACCCCCTCACCTGGGAGACAATTACTCCACATCGTAACACTTGTAGGAGCACCACACGAGAATGTGTCAATACTTTCGAGTTAGCCCGACTGCAAATCAAGACAGAGAAGCTCCAACGCCGGAAAGACGTTGCCATCGCCCTCCCGTAGATGGAGCCCTACACATGTGCAACGAATGTGAACGACGGCCCCGGTCCCGTATCGTCCTCTCTAGTCACCTCAGAGCTCACTAACCTAGGTGACATCCCTAATACCTCATTTCATTGTATCGTCATACTAGATTCCGGAGACAGCAAAGTAGTAAAGTAGTAGTAGTGTGTCTATACCGGGCTAGGTTAGATAGAGCATATTAGGTTAGTTAGGTTAGAATAAAATAGATTAAGTCAGGTTAGGTTGGGCCGGGCTAAGTAGCGGTTAGGGTTAGCCGGGTTAGGTTAGGCCGGGTTAGTTAGCCGGTCTAGGTTAGACCGTTAGTTAAGCCGAGCTAGGATAGGCTATAATACAAGAGGACTGATATAACTCCTGACGTCGTAAACAGGAAGAGCGGCCGAGCAGGGAACTTGACCTCGGCGGAGGTGCTGATTATACTAAGTTAACAGCGGTTGATGAAGACCAATAACTAAGACAACAAACTTTCCACGGAGAGTTATAACATTTGGGAGAGTTTGAAGCTACAGGACCCATCAAGACCTTCATCAAAACCAGCATTTCTTAGATGATCGCAAAATGTGAACAACTGACGTGCGTAACATGACTGAAGGTGAAGAGAACTGTCAAGGTATTCCAGAGACACACTTAGTACAATAACACCAGAGTTTGTGGCGTGGTGAGTAACCACCAGCTGCTGAATGATGGTGGAACAACCCTGGGTGGACCAGCATCCTGCCACGGTGGTGGAGTAACCCACCAGCTGCTGAATGATGGTGGAACAACCCTGGGTGACCAGCACCCTACCAGGGTGGTGGAGTAACCCACCAGCTCCTGAATGATAGTGAACAACCCTGGTGGACCAGCACCTGCCAGGGTGGTGGAGAGCCCAGCTGCTGAATGGTGATGGAACAACCTTGGGTGGACCAGCATCCTGCCAGGATGGTGGAGTAGCCCACCAGCTGCTGAATGGTGATGGAACAACCCTTGGGTGGACCAGCATCCTGTCAGGGTGGTGGAGTAACCCACCAGCTGCTGAATGATGGTGAAACAACCCTGGGTGGACCAGCATCCTGCCACGGTGGTGGAGTAACCCACCAGCTCCTGAATGATAGTGGAACAACCCCTTGGTGGACCAGCATCCTGCCAGGATGGTGGAGTAACCCACCAGCTGCTGAATGGTGATGAACAACCCTGGTGGACCAGCATCCGTCAGGGTGGTGGAGTAACCACTAGCTGCTGAATGATGGTGGAACAACCCTGTGGACCAGCATCCTGCCAGGGTGGTGGAGTAACGCACCAGCTGCTGAATGATGGTGGAACAACCCTTGTGGACCAGCATCCTGCCAGGGTGTGGAGTAACCCACCAGCTGCTGAATGATGGTGAACAACCCTGGGTGGACCAGCATCCTGCCAGGGTGGTGGAGTAACCCACCAGCTGCTGAATGGTGGTGGAACAACCCTTGGTGGACCAGCACCCTGCCAGGGTGATGGAGGAACCACTAGCTGCTGAATGTGGTGAACAACTTTGGTGGACCAGCATCCTGCCAGGGTGATGGAGCAACCCACCAGCTGCTGAATGGTGGTGGAACAACCTTGGGTGACCAGCATCCTGCCAGGGTGATGGAGTAACCCACCAGCTGCTGAATGGTGGTGAACAACCCTTGGGTGGACCAGCATCCTGCCAGGGTGATGGAGGAACCCACTAGCTGCTGAATGGTGGTGGAACAACCTGGTGGGACCAGCACCTGCCAGGGTGATGGAGAACCCACCACAGCTGAATGATGGTGAACAACCCTTGGGTGACCAGCATCCTGCCAGGGTGATGGAGTAACCCACCAGCTGCTGAATGGTGGTGGAACAACCCTTGGTGAACCAGCATCCTGCCAGGGTGATGGAGTAACCCACCAGCTGCTGAATGGTGGTGGAACAACCCTTGGGTGGACCAGCATCCTGCCAGGGTGATGGAGGAACCCACTAGCTGCTGAATGGTGGTGGAACAACCCTTGGTGACCAGCACCCTGCCAGGGTGATGGAGGAACCCACTAGCTGCTGAATGATGGTGGAACAACTTGTGACCAGCATCCAGTCAGGGTGGTGAGTAACCCACCAGCTTCTGAATGATGGTGAAACAACCCATGAGTGACCAGCACCCTGCCAGGGTGATGGAGGAACCCACTAGCTGCTGAATGGTGGTGGAACAACCTTGGGGGACCAGCACCTGCCAGGGTGGTGGAGTAACCCACTAGCTGCTGAATGGTGGTGGAACAACCTTTGGGTGGACCAGCATCCAGCCAGGGTGATGGAGGAACCCACTAGCTGCTGAATGGTAAGAATCATCAGGCTATCAACACCGTCTAAGTCAACCTGAGCTATAATACTACTGAAGACACTGAAGGTTGAGAGCGGTGGGTATAGTGTGGTGCAGGGTGGAGCAGCCTTACGCCCTGCTGGCCGGGCCTGGCGGGTAATAAAGATGACACATGTTCACATAACAGCTTCCCCACAACTGCCAGGGATTATGTTGCTTCCTTCACCACCCGGGCAGTTCTTTTGCTATGTTTCTCATCATCACTCTTGTATATTAAGTTTACTTCTTTAATATAATCTTCCATCAGCTCGTATCTAAACTTGAGGATCCAAAGTTGTTCATCTAATAACATCTCTTACAAGACAACATAAAGGCATTTTAATCACTGTCTTGGTCCCACACAGTTACCATACCATGTAAGGCTTGACTCATACAACGGAGATGAGGAACAAAATATGTAAGAACACACTCTCTCTCTCTCTCTCTCTCTCTCTCTCTCTCTCTCTCTCTCTGAGTCTGAAAGGGACCCAGGAAGAGCCTCCAGGTCTGGTAGCGGCGGGTGGTGTTAGGCCTAGACGAGACATCTGAGAGATAATGTAAAGAGACAGAGTGAGAGATACCGTGTAGAAGAAACAGAGGTGACAGGCAATATAATGGAGGGAGACAGCAGTTGGGAGATAGTGGAGCGAGAAGTGAGACAGCAGTTGGGAGATAGTAGGCGAGAAGTGAGACAGCAGTTGGAATAGTGGGCGAGTGAGACAGCAGTTGGGAGATAGTGGAGCGAAGTGAGACAGCAGTTGGGGAGATAGTGGAGCAGAAGTGAGACAGCAGATGGGAGATAGTGGGCAGAAGTGAGACAGCAGTTGGGAGATAGTGGGCAGAAGTGAGACAGCAGTTGGGAGATAGTGAAGCGAAGCAGAGACAGCAGTTGGGAGATAGAGTAGGAAGATAAAATGTATTAGAAACTCTGGACTGAGACACAATGTGAGATTACTAAGAGTTGAGGCATTTATTGAGAGAGAGAGAGAGAGAGAGAGAGAGAAAGAGAGAGAGAGAGATCCTATACACACCTGATCATCAGCCTGTCACCATTAACCTAACTAACCTAACCTAGGTATGTAGTAGGTAGTAAGGTAGTAGGCAGCTACCAAACAGGAGGTACTACCGCCTGGGAAGATATTGGGCATAATGTGTTGTCTAATGGTAGACCCTGCTGCCGCCAGCGATAAGTCAGGTTGATGATCTGAGTTTCTGCCTCATTTACACACTATTGCAGGGTCTCAATTGTTTCTCTTACCATTGACAACACAACACAACACAACAACACAACACAACATACATACGTATATTGTTTCTCACTATTGATCTTATTTCATTTTTTTATTTTTTAATGGTTCTTGTTATTATTAATATTATTATTATTATTATTATTATTATTATTATTATTATTATTATTACATTTTCGCCCCCAGGCCCCGTGTGGGTCAGTGACCTGTGCCTGGGTGAACTAATCGAAGAACAATAAATAAAAATAAAATAAAATAAATACCCATTAGCACTGAAGGTCGTCAGGTATTTTCACCCGGCATATGTTTATCATTCGATCTCTTATAAATTATTTCACAATAGGTTAGGTTAGCTTGGGTTAGGTTAATCTTTTAGTGAAATAAACTAGGATGGAGTTTCTTCGGGTGAACTAAATTTTGTTTTCTTTATAGACTCCGAAGTAAAACAGACTTAAGTCATTTTTGAAGTTAAAATCTGTGATATAGATAAGTTTTGGGCCGGTAAATGGGTCTCCATTATGAAGACAGATTAACAACATTACCGCTGACCGTCCTGGGAGTCACACAACCTTATGGAATAGGAAATTATACAGTGATCATGAAAACTTAACTGTATTACCTCTTATGATGCGGCCGTCGAGAGGTGCGGCGTCGAGGTGCAGGCGTCGAAGGTGCGGGCGTCGAAGGTGCGGGCGTCGAGAGGTGTAGGCGTCAGGAGGTGCGGGCGTCGAGAGGTGCGGGCGTCGAGAGGTGTAGGCGTCGGGAGGTGCGGGCGTCGGGAGGTGCGGGCGTCGAGAGGTGTAGGCGTCGAGAGGTGGGCGTCAGGGAGTGCGGGCGTCAGGAGGTGCGGGCGTCGGGAGGTGCGGGCGTCGAGAGGTGTAGGCGTCGAGAGGTGTAGGCGTCGGGAGGTGCGGGCGTCGAGAGGTGCGGGCGTCGAGAGGTGCGGGCGTCGAGAGGTGTAGGCGTCGAAGGTGGGGGCGTCGAGAGGTGGGGGCGTCGAGAGGTGCTGGCGTCGAAGGTGTAGGCGTCGAGATGTGTAGGCGTCGAAGGTGGGGGGCGTCAGGAGGTGCGGAGGCGTCGGGAGGTGCGGGCGTCGAGAGGTGCGGGCGTCGAGAGGTGTAGGCGTCGGTGTGGGCGTCGAGATTGCAGGCGTCGAGAGGTGCGAGCGTCGAGAGGTGCGAGCGTCGAGAGGTGCGGGCGTCGGAAGGTGTAGGCGTCGAGAGGTGTAGGAGGCGTCGAAGGTGCGGGCGTCGAGAGGTGCAGGCGTCGAGAAGGTAGGCGTCGAGAGGTGTAGGGCGTCGAGATTTGCGGGCGTCGAGAGGTGCGAGCGTCGAGAGGTGCAGGCGTCGAAGGTGTGAGCGTCGAGAGGTGCGGACTTCGAGAGGTGTGCGAGCGTCGAGAGGTGTAGGCGTCGAGAGGTGTAGGCGTCCGGGGTGCGGGCGTCGAGATGCGGGCGTCGAGAGTGAGGCGTCGAGAGGTGCGGGCGTCGAAGATGTAGGCGTCGAGAGGTGTAGGCGTCGAGAGGTGTAGGCGTCAGGAGGTGCGGGTGTCGAAGGTGCGGGCGTCGAGAGGTGCGGGCGTCAGAGGTGTACGCGTCAGAGGTGTAGGCGTCGAGAGGTGTAGGCGTCAGGAGGTGCGGGCGTCGAAGGTGTAGGCGTCGAGAGGTGTAGGCGTCGGGAGGTGCGGGCGTCGAGAGGTGAGGCGTCGAGGTGCGGGCGTCGAGAGGTGCAGGCGTCGAGAGGTGCGGGCGTCGAGAGGTGTAGGCGTCGGGAGGTGCGGGCGTCGAGAGGTGCGGGCATCCGAAGTGAGGGCGTCGAGAGGTGCGGGCGTCGAGGTGCGGGCGTCGAAGGTGCGGGCGTCGAGTGCGGGCGTCGAAGTGCGGGCGTCGAGAGGTGCGGGCGTCGAGAGGAAGAAGCTGCGGCAATTCACTAATACTCTCACGCTATGGGTTGGTCCCCTTAGTACAGTGTCTTAACCCTTAGAGTACAGTGTCTTAACCCCTTGAGTACAGTGTCTTAACCCCTTGAGTACAGTTTCTTAACCCTTGAGTACAGTGTCTTAACCTTGGTACAGTGTCTTAACCCTTGAGTACAGTGTCTTAACCCCTTGAGTACAGTGTCTTAACCTCTTGAGTACAGTGTCTTAACCTTGAGTACAATGTCTTAACCCCTCAGTACAGTGTCTTAACCCTTGAGTACAGTGTCTCCCTTGAGTACAGTGTCTTAACCCTTGAGTACAGTGTCTTAACCCTTGAGTACATTGTCTTAACCTCTTGAGTACAGTGTCTTAACCCCTTGAGTACAGTGTCTTAACCCTTGAGTACATTGTCTTAACCTCTTGAGTACAATGTCTTAACCCCTTGTTGATGTCTTAACCTCTTGAGTAGTGTCTTAACCCCTTGAGTACAATGTCTTAACCCCTTGAGTACATTGTTTTAACCTCTCAGTACAGTGTCTGAACCCCATGAGTACAGTGTCTTAACCCTTAGTCACAGTGTCTTAACTCCTTGAGTACAGTGTCTTAACCCCTTGAGTACAGTGTCTTAACCCCTTGAGTACAATGTCTTAACCCTTTGAGTACAATGTCTTAACCCCTTGGTACAGTGTCTTAACCCTTGAGTACAGTGTCTTAACCACTAAGTAAAGTGTCTTAACCCCTTGAGTACAGTGTCTTAACCCTTGAGTACAGTGTCTTAACCCCTTAGTACAGTGTCTTAACCCCTTGAGTACAATGTCTTAACCCCTTGAGTACAATGTCTTAACTGAGTACAATGTCTTAACCCCTTGAGTACAGTGTCTTAACCCCTTGAGTACATTGTTTTAACCTCTCGAGTACAGTGTCTGAACCCCTTGGTCAGTTTCTTAACCCCTTAGTACAGTGTCTTAACCCCTTGAGTACAGTGTCTTAACCCCTGAGTACAGTGTCTTAACCTCTTGAGTACAATGTCTTAACCCCTTGAGTACAGTGTCTTAACCCTTGAGTACAGTGTCTTAACCCCTTGAGTACAGTGTCTTAACCCTAGGTACATTGTCTTAACCTCTTGAGTACAGTGTCTTAACCCCTTGAGTACAGTGTCTTAACCCTTAGTACAGTGTGTAACCCCTTGAGTACAGTGTCTTAACCTCTTGAGTACAATGTCTTAACCCCTTGAGTACAGTGTCTTAACCCCTTGAGTACAGTGTCTTAACCTTGAGTACGTGCTCTTAACCCCTAGAGTACATTGTCTTAACCTCTTGAGTATAGTGTCTTAACCCTTGAGTACAGTGTCTTAACCCTTGAGTACAGTGTCTTACCTTGTAAGTACAATGTCTTAACCCCCTGAGTACAATGTCTTAACCCCTTGAGTACAATGTCTTAACCCTTAAGTACAGTGTCTTAACCCCTTGAGTACAGTGTCTTAACCCCTTGAGTACAGTGTCTTAACCCCTTGAGTACAGTGTCTTAACCCCTTGAGTACAATGTCTTAACCCCTTGAGTACAATGTCTTAACTACATTTGAATACAGTGATTTAAGCCTTTTATTTCGGTGTGCTAACTCTTTGAATAGGAAAATCTGTTCCCTTGAGTACGATGACATTGTACTCAAGGGATTAAAGTGATGTACTCAAGGGTTAAGACATTGTACTCAAGAGATTAAAATAATTTAGAAATGTAAAAGATAAACAATAATTCATAGATTTTGACTTTATCATTGCAGGATGACACACACACACACACACACACACACACACACACACACACACACACACACACACACACACACACACACACACACACACACACACACACACACACACACACACCTTCATTGACTTCACCAAAATTTGATCATCAACAAAGCTGTCCCCACCTTTCAGCTGCTTGAGAGAAACTCCGCTCGTTGGAAATATGCCGACGACTCCACCTTGGGATCAGTGTCAACAACTCGGCTCCCGACTACGCTGCCCTCCAGGATTTATTGAACAGTCTCCAAAATTGGGCCCCAACAACCCCTGCCTGGTCTTCCTCCTAAATGCCACACAACGTAAACACCTAGAAAAAAAAGATACAAAAGAGGGCATGCAAGATTATTCTCTCCCTTCCTACGCCCATATCAAGAAGCGCTCAATACACTGACCCTCTCGGCTCTCACTGACCATCACCACGACCTCATCTGCAAATTTGGTGAAAAATTTTGCACCATCCTCGACATCGCTCCTACTACCACAAGTCCCTCGTCCGCGATTGGCTGTTCGGCACCACAACCGCATCCAGCCCACACGAGCACGAACTGATGCTATAAGAACAGACCAGTCCCAACCATTGTAAACATTATCAACTACTCGTAGTCAACCACTGTGCTCATCCTTTGCCAATTTTACGTTTGCGCTGTTAATGTGTTGATTTTCCATCTAGAAGACCTTCTTCCTCCTTGTCATTAAATACAATATTTGTAACACTTATGTTACTTGAATATTTTTGTCAACCAAGTGACTCATTATGTGACCTTTATCATCTCTGTTTTCTTTATTATATTTTCAGCCCTTTGGCTGTCATGTTCTTTCAATAAACCGTCAATCATCATCATCATCATCATCATCATCATCATCTAGCAGCAGCAGCAGCAGCAGCAGCAGCAGCAGCAGCAGCAGCAGCAGCAGCAGCAGCAGTATATAATAAACACAAACGTGTTGTTAACACTGTATAACACCTGGAGAGGAGACAAGATACAGGTGAGGGAGGCGGCCACTGATGAGCTCCTCCACACAAGGGAAGAACCGCATCATAGCAGCCGCCTGGGGACCACACAGGGGCGTCTTAGGAGGAGGCGGGCGGCCTTTATTGTTGAGGGCGAACACCACCTATTAACAACAAAATTTCACTCTAAACCTGTTGAGGTTAGGTTAGGTTAGGTTAGGTTGGTTAGGTTAGGTTTCCCTAATCTACCCAACTGTGAATGTGTTCCTCACTCAACAATTAGAGACGTGATGTTGATTGAGTACAGTGCCGGCCACACCGCTTCCTTTTGTGTACTGAGAACAAGGTTTAGTCTACAGTGCGCTGTATCCACACTGCCTCTAACAGGTCATATCAGGCTTAGGATTATGAGACCTTAATAACTACATTATAATAACTACATTTAAGAAAGCTTTTAAAGTGGAGTTATTATATTTATGGGTGTTATTGTAGTTAAGATGAGTTATTAGACTAAATGAGGTCAATACATATAACAACGATAGTAATTACATTTACATGTGGTGTGACACTTAAGTAATAACACTTTAATTGCATTCAAGGTTGTTATTTCCTTTAAAGTGAGAAGTAATTACATTTAAGGGCGGTACAGACGCTAGCCCTGGCGGTAAGGAGACGACCTGAGGCAGGCAATAGCACGAGAGGCGATAACTCTGACAGCCTGAGAATAGTAGTGTGTTTGACCGTCATGCTAACTGCTGTCACTACTACCTGCACTCTCTCTCTCTGTACCTGTGTTAGAGACCCACTACTACCTGCACTCTCTCTCTCTGTACCTGTGTTAGAGACCCACTACTACCTGCACTTTCTCTCTCTGTACCTGTGTTAGAGACCCACTACTACCTGCACTTCTCTCTCTCTCTACCTGTGTTAGAGACCCACTACTACCTGCACTCTCTCTCTCTTGTACCTGTGTTAGAGACCCACTACTACCTGCTCTCTCTCTCTCTCTCTCTCTGTACCTGTGTTAGAGACCCACTACTACCTGCACTCTCTCTCTCTCTCTCTGTACCTGTGTTAGAGACCCACTACTACCTGCACTCTCTCTCGCTCTCTGTACCTGTGTTAGAGACCCACTACTACCTGCACTCTCTCTCTCTCTCTGTACCTGTGTTAGAGACCCACTACTACCTGCACTCTCTCTCTCTCTCTCTCTCTGTACCTGTGTTAGAGACCCACTACTACCTGCACTCTCTCTCTCTCTCTCTGTACCTGTGTTAGAGACCCACTACTACCTGCACTCTCTCTCTCTGTACCTGTGTTAGAGACCCACTACTACCTGCACTCTCTCTCTCTCTCTCTGTACCTGTGTTAGAGACCCACTACTACCTGCACTCTCTCTCTCTCTCTCTCTGTACCTGTGTTAGAGACCCACTACTACCTGCACTCTCTTCTCTCTCTCTGTACCAGTGTTAGAGACCCACTACTACCTGCACTCTCTCTCTCTCTCTCTCTCTGTACCTGTGTTAGAGACCCACTACTACCTGTACTCTCTCTCTCTCTCTCTGTACCTGTGTTAGAGACCCACTACTACCTGTACTCTCTCTCTCTCTCTGTACCTGTGTTAGAGACCCACTACTACCTGCACTCTCTCTCTCTCTCTGTACCTGTGTTAGAGACCCAATACTACCTGTACTCTTTCACTCTCTCTCTCTCTCTCCACTTACCTTACTCTATAACCCGTTGAGTACGGTGATTTAATCTCACATGTACATTGTTTATTGTACTCAGGGCATTCGTATTCAAAGTACTAAGTCATTGCACATAAGGGATTAAATATTGTACTCAAGTTTGTTAAGTCATCGGGCTCAGGGATACATGTACATAACTCAACGGGTGGATTCATGGTACTCAGGAGAAATACATCGTACTCAAGGGATTAAATCATGGTACTCAGGAGAAATACATCGTACTCAACGGGTGGATTCATGGTACTCAGGAGAAATACATCGTACTCAAGGGATTAAATCATGGTACTCAGGGGTTAAGAAATTCTCACCTAGACTCTCAAAGGCTCGTAAGATAATGTTAACCGTCGGGCACAAGAGAGGAGAGAGAGCCTCAAGTTACCCTGGAAGAGTCTCTAGGAGTCTCTAGGTGATTGTAAAGACATGTTGGTTGTGTTTGTTTGAGTCTGGGGTACAATTTTAAGCTCAGTCCCTCCCTCCACCTCTCACCTCACCTCACCCCCCCCCAATCCTCCAGTACCTCCTAAACTATAGAGTATTCTTCCCCCTCCCCCTTACCCCACCCCCCAACACCTCCCCTCTACCTCCAACACATCCCCCTACCCCAACACCTCCCCTCTACCCTCCAACACATCCCCTCTACCCTCCACCACATCCCCCTCTACCCTCCAACACATCCCCCTCTACCCCCCAACACATCCCCATCCCATCCCTATCCCTTAAGGACACATTCTATCCTCATCTAGTTTCCCGGACGCTGCAGACACTCACTGTTATTCTCCGCCTCATTTATGAGTCAACTGTGCGAGTCTCTTCCTGACGCCAGACACACACGGAGGCTGGCAGTGTCGTGTGGCGTAGAGGAAGCGAGTCTTAAGAGAACCACCAATGTTGAACTGAAATACTAATAACAGCTAAGATGTTGTAGTGATGTTAAATATAGCTTTAATTACGTGATAAAAAATTAACCGGGCCCTTTCTTTACGGAGGCTGGTCAAACGGGCCCCAATCCTCCAGGGCCCCTTATATATAATAAGACCCAACCTATGCATACTCGTATCTTCATTATGGTTGGAACCTCACTGAAATGCTTAGGTTAGGTTAGGTTAGGTTAGGTTAGGTTAGGTTAGGCCCGTTCATTACTTAACATCTCTCTCACCGACAGACCAACACTACAACCATCCAGTGTGGGAGGTCAATACTCACCTTAACCTCAACAGTCGTGTAGGAGGTCAATACTCACCTTAACCCCAACAGTCGTGTAGGAGGTCAATACTCACCTTAACCTCAACAGTCGTGTAGGAGGTCAATACTCACCTTAACCTCAACAGTCGTGTAGGAGGTCAATACTCACCTTAACCTCAACAGTCGTGTAGGAGGTCAATACTCACCTTAACCTCAACAGTCGTGTAGGAGGTCAATACTCACCTTAACCTAAACAGTCGTGTAGGAGGTCAATACTCACCTTAACCTAAACAGTCGTGTAGGGTCAATACTCACCTTAACCTCAACAGTCGTGTAGGAGGTCAATACTCACCTTAACCTCAACAGTCGTGTAGGAGGTCAATACACCTTAACCCAACAGTCGTGTAGGCGGTCAATACTCACCAACCTCAACAGTCAGGTCACTCACCTTAACCTCAACAGAGGTCAATACTCACCTTAACCTCAACAGTAGGAGGTCAATACTCACCTTAACCCAACAGTCGTGTAGGAGGTCAATACTCACCTTAACCCCAACAGTCGTGTAGGAGGTCAATACTCACCTTAACCTCAACAGTCGTGTAGGAGGTCAATACTCACCTTAACCTCAACAGTCGTGTAGGAGGTCAATACTCACCTTAACCTCAACAGTCGTGTTTGTGACAGTAAAATAAATTTCTCATCTGAACTCACATAAAAATCCAACTGGAGACAGATCGTGTGGGTAAACTTTCCTTGAACTAAATAAAAATGCCAAAAAAGGTGAAGTAATGTGGTGGTGTTATGAGAAAGTAGACCAAAAGGCAGAAAGGAAATTAAATGGTGTATATATGCGGTTCTTCCCCCGAAATGAAAACGTATATATATTTTCTCAACATTATAAATCAAAAAGTATAAAATTTTTACTATGAGGTAAATATAAAAAGTAGCAGGCAACGGGTAGAAATGGACTTTGACCTTCAGTTGTGACCTTTGACCTTTAGCTTTAACCTATGACCTTTACCTGTTACCTATGATCTCTAGATGTAACCTTGGCCTACAGCTGTGACCTTTGCCCTTTACCTGTGACCTTTAACGTTCATCTTGGACCTATAACCTTAAACTGTGATATATGACCTTTAGCTGTGACCTATGACCTACAGCAGTGACCTATAACCTTTACCGTGTGTGTGTGTGCGTGTGTGTGTGTGTATGGGTGCACACAGGAGGGTGTTATGCATCTAATGTGGCAGCATTATGTTAGTGTTAAGGTGCAAGCACTGCTTACTCCCTCTCGCTTTCAGCTACCGCCGCTGGCTAGCCCTCGTGGCGAACAGGGAAGCAACATGCATAAGTCTTCCCCTACCAGTACACAGCCTCTTCACCATCAAGACTCCTGCTGTACCTCCTCGTGGCAACACACGGTAACTGGGTGCCTAGTGGGCCCAGGCTAGACCAGCAGGGGATCTCGGAGTAGCAGAGGACACCAGAGGAATAGCGCATAGGCCCACTGGCATGTGGACACGTCCAGGCTCCTACCAACAACTGCCCCACTGTCTTGTGGATTAACCTTGGGAGGTATAAGGCTGCGGGAGTAAACCCCGAACGAAAACTCTGCGCTGGAGCCCCTCATTAGGCATACATGCTTATAGAGCTCCAAAAAGAGCCCAACGGCGGTATAGGGGGAAAAGGTGACCAACATGGGAACCCAACGACTACACCAGCGGACGAAGGCAATGCATGATGGACAGGCTACTAAGGCGAAACCCAACAACCTGGGCTATCGGCAGTCCATTGCAACTCTCCCTCTCCCCAGTCGTTGCAACACTTGCACCACTAGATCAGGAAAAGGGAGAGCGAAGATGTGTGGTTGCAGCCTGCGCTCCTGCCTCACCACATAAATCAACTCACGCACAGCCATCACCCAGCTCAAAAGACTCCTCATCATCATCAAATCTTTATACCTCAAAAGTCCTATGGCGATGGACAAGTGGAGACGGGGACAGGCAGAGATGACTACCGGGAGTCTCTAGTCACAACTCTGCACATGGGAGGCACAGATAAGATAGTCGTTTATGCACTGGAATCTATGCAACCCGGTCCTGTCTGTGTGACTGAGCAGCCCTTCCGAGGAGTCACTCTGCTCACCCCATATGGGGAGGGGGGCTACAAAAGGTGCCTTAACCATACCCTGCCTAAAAAACCAACCTGACTGGGCAACCGCACCCAGTGAGGTCATCCTTATGCGGTCGAAAACACAATTATAATCCCAGATCAAAACAAAAAACAAACCATACAACCTCTTATGGTCGCTGCATGGAATGTCAAGACCCATCTGGATCCTGGCACTTGTGGCAAAAGAACTGGCTAGGTATAAAATCGACATTGCAGCCATTAGTGAGTCCAGGCTCCCAGACGAGGGTCGACTCACAGAACGGGGGTTCTAGCTAAACCTTCTTCCTCATTTATGGAGTTGGCTTTGCCATCCGCCAACGCATCTTACACAGGCTAACTGAAATGCCTGTTGGGATGAACGAGAGCCTCATGACGCTCAAAGTCCTTCTGAATCACTCACGTCATGCCTTTTTCATCATTGGATATGCCCCAACAGAGGATGACATCAAGGAGGCCTTTTACACTGACCATGGCCGAGTGCTAACCTCTATCCCCAGAGACGACAAGGTTGTACGCTTTGGTGACTTCATGCCACAGTTGGCAGAGATGCTGACATTTGGCAGCGAATCATAGGGCGAAATGGACTAGGCAAATGTAATCCCAACGGCCTACTCCTCCTCAGCAGGTGTGCTGCACACAACCTCACCATCACCAATACTTTGTTTAGGCAGCCCGACAAGTTCAAGGGTTAGTGACAACAAACACGATCCAAACACTGGCATCTCATTGACCACATCATTGTCAGAGAAAGAGATCGCCGAGATGTACTCATCACTCGAGCAATGCGTGGCTCAGACCACTGTGACACTCATCATCGGCACACAGAGCCAGGCTCTCACTTCACGTCGCCCAACAACGGTGATGGCAACAGGTTTCCAAAAGACTTTTTAACACTAAGCGTCTGGAGGATCCAGCAGTAGCGCATGCTTTCAGAGAGCAGCTCGAACATGGGCTGATAAACAACAACATGACAAATAAACAACCCAAATCCCAGTGCAGAATGGGGTATTCTCTAAATTGTCACGACAAAAACCTGCCGAGAGACCCTCGGGCAGATCTAAAGAATACACCAGGACTGGTTTGATGAAAACTTGCTGCTTTAACTGACTAGCAAAACAACCCTCAGCCTCAGACCAAAGCTGATACCTTCCGCAAGAAGAAAGAGGCGGCCCAGCACGAACTTCGCAAACTAAAGAACGACTGGTTTAAAAACAAAGCATGTGAAATGCAAAAACTTCCAGATCAACACAAGATGTACGAATTTTTCAATTCCACTAAAACATTTTATGGGCCAATCACTCATGGCACAGACCCCCTTTGCTCATCCGATGGTAGCTCCCTAATTAAAGACGAAGACGGCATCCGTCGGTGCTGGAAAGAGCACTACCATTTGCTGCTCAACCGAAATACCGCTGTGGGTGTCCTGACTACCCAGCAGGTCCCTCAGCATCCACAGCCGAACCATCTCAGCTATATTCCATCCCTGAATGAGGTAGCTACTGCCATCAAACAGATGAAGAATAACAAAGCCTCAGGGCCTGATGGAATCCCGGCTGAGGTGTATAAAGCAGGAGGACCTCTACTTACCAGCCGTCTCCACTCTCTCCTGGAGATTTATGGGAAAAGGAGGAAATTTCCCAATCTCTTATAGACGCCTCCATCGTCAATATTTATAAGAGCAAGGGCGACAGGTCAGACTCTGGCAACTACGGCGGGATCTAGCTGCTCTCCGTAGCTGGCAAGATTATCGCCCAAGTCCTCCAAAACAGACTTCTCCCTGAGGCGGAAAACTTCCTCCCAGAATCTCAGCGTGGCCTTAGACCATCACGTGGCACCACTGACATGATCCTTGCTGCCTGCCAGATACAGGAAAAGTGCAGAGAAC